GTACACTAATGTAATATATGGATATTCGATAAAAACCGCAGGACACTAAGTACTATGCTTAGGCAGGAGCTCATTGTTCTAATGCTGAATGGATACAGATATTGGCTGGAAGGCTTTTTATCCAGTGAAGGTTAAGCAACACAGTTAATTTACTATCTAAACAATTCTAAGTTTAAAGCCAATGTTCATGTTGCATGTGGGAGACTGGCCCCATATTTTTCTACTTATTTGCTAAAACGACTGTGGTGTGTGTTTCAACATTTGACTTTTATTAAATCAAAATGTGCTTTTCAAATGCTAGCTTAGGCTCGTGGGTATTGAGTTACACACAGAAGGCATTCGTTCACATTACACAGTGTCCTTAAAATATTCTCTCTTATGACCCATTCTTGTAATTCCTTTAGTGCTGACCTACTACTAAATTCATTGAAAGGTTTATGACTAGATGCTTTGATGATTTGGACACTCTAGATTTTGTTTCTCATGAAACTCCAGAAGTGTGATATCTCAGCTTCTTCTTTTCCACATCACAGTGCAGCTACCAACTGAGTAAACATACAGTTTTGATTCAGAACAGATCAAAGGTGGATGTTGATTTGTTTAATAGCTATCCCAGTGAGAGATGATTTGCATGTCTGAATGAATTAGTCCAGCTAATGCTATAGTTGGAATTTGGCTGAAGATCTACTGTAGTTTTGGTAGACAATCAGCTGCAGGTCACCACTAACTGAGCATCAACTAAACATATGTGAAAATGACTTAATACTTATAGTGCTGTCTAGATCTGAAATCCATCATTTTGTAGCTTTCAAGCCTCTGTGATATAGTGCCATTTACATTTATATGTCTCATCTTCCCAAATTGAATATGGCACTTTCAGTGGACATTTACTCATCCTGTTTTGTACAAAGCTACTTGCTATGCATAGTTGGTCCTATACTTACCTCTTATTTAAAAAAGCAAGTTTCACCTCTGTTCAGTAACCATTAATCAGTTTTCTCCAGTCTATTAACTTTACTTCAGAAAGGTCTGTGTGATTCTCTAAGTGTTGCGGAACTACAGTTTCTAGTTTTCCTACCTGCTGATCTGTCAACATTTGGACCATATACGTTAAAGATTATCGGTATAGATTAGATGAATCTCTAACTTTGCATGTATACAGGCAATGTAAAAATATAGACAGAGATGGTATATCTATATTTTGCATTTTTAAAGACTGAGAAAGGAAATGAAGGCAAGTTCTTTCTCAGTTCCATTGTGATACTTTATGAAGCTCCCGAGTGAGGTCATTCAATATCATGGGGTTCAGTATCATTACTAGCCAATTATACCTCTTTACCATATACCAAGTGATGCTGTTCAGATCCTACTTTAGTTCCTGGAGCCAATAAGGTCTGGATGGGCAGAATCTGACTACGATTCAACCCTAGCAAGACAGAATGATTATGGATCTTTGGTTCCCTGGGATCAGGAGAATTGATATCTCTGACTCTAGATGGGGTAACATTCTCCTGAACCAGAATTAGGATGAAATTTCAGGATTTTCCTGGACTTGGTTCCTCCTGGAAAGTGGCAGCTGTTTAGGTGGGACTTTGCACAAATTCATCTTGTGCACCACTTGTGCCCATTCCTGTACTGGGAGGCCTTGCTCATGGTCACTCATATCAGTCACTTCCAATTGATTTAGTACAATTACTCTACATGGGGCTGCCCTTGAAGACCATTCGGAAGCTGCAACTAATGCAATGCAGTTGCTGGGTACCCTGTGGTTTGCCCATGTTTTACTACTGTTGTATGAGCTGCATTGACTTCCAGTTACTTTTTGTGCACTTCAAAGTCTGGTTATCATCATTAAAGCCTAAATGGCACAGGACCAGGCTATTCTCAGGATTGTTTCTTCCTGAGGTTATGTCTCACTAGGTCAAAGAAGGTGGACATGCTCAACTGCTGTCAACTGACAGGATCTTGGAGGTGCACCTTCTCTGTAATCACCCCCCTGGAATAGCCTCCCACTCGAGATTCAAGGAGGAATCTCTACTCTTTTAACTTTTCTGAAGGTCATGAAGACCTGGCTCTTCCTCCCAACCATTGGATGTGGACGGGGATTGAGTCAGATGGGTAATAGTTTGGTCTTGTATCTTGTATTCCTGTTTTATTGATTGTGGTGAGCTGCCAAGGATCAACAGAGTGGCTAGGTAGCCATATAGGTTCAATCAATAAATCAGCAAGCAAGCAAGCATAAGAAGAAAAGCTAAACATTCAACTTACAGCTTATTGGGGATGGCCAACATGTAATAAGACACTTGTATACACATACTGTATATTTGTCCTTCAAAATAGTAATAGCAATAGCATTTAGAAATATATACTGCTTCACAGTGCTTTAAGCCCTCTCTAAGCAGTTTACAGAGTCAGCATATTGCTCCCAACAATCTGAGTCCTCTGGGTCCTCATTTTACTAGCCCTGGAAGGATGGAAGGCTGAGTCAACCTTGAGCCTGTGAGGATTGAACTATTGGCAGTCAGCAGAATTAGCCTGCAATACTGCATTCTAACCACTGTGCCCCCATTGCTACCCCTTGGGACTAATAATAATTTGCATTGCAACTATGCCACTGGATCCAGATGAAATTATACTTTTTTGGTTATGGAAACAAAAACCTATTCTCAATTTGACTAGAAACCTTAAGTTCCCATCTGTCTTGGAAGAATGGTATAGCAGAAGATTGGCTCTTATGCTACTGCATAGATACACTAGTGCATACTTTTAAGTAATAGTGGCACTAATAGAAAAGAAGTATTAAAATCACCCTTCTTACTTTTTCCTCTTCAACCAAGCCTTTGTTCTGACCTAGGCTTCCTGAACCAGTAAAAACGATTAGTCCCCAAAACCCTCTTTTTATTTCAACGGCTATGAATTCTGTTCATTCACAGCCCGTAATGAGTCACAAACAGTTTGTAAAGAATCTGACAGAAGTCTGCCATAGTCCTTCGGGATAAGGCTGATAAGCACCCACCTTTATCTCCCTTGACACGCTGCCAAAGACCTAATTGGCAATTAGTTTTGCAAGGCCACACGGAGCATAGAGTCAAAATGGAGCTTCAGAATTTAAACTGACCAGAATGAACAAAGTTGCTTCCTGCAAAGGCTCGCATGTCTTTGCTCCTCCTGTATGTCTTATGGGAGGGGCCAATCATCTCCAAGCCTTACTCCTGAGTTGTCCCTTTTGTCTTAACTGTTCTTGCCTTCTGGCAGCTCTGCGCATGCGTGCACTGGGAACAGGCTCCTTCTGTTCCTCTGTCTCGCTGATGTCAGACTGGAGGCTCCGGTGTCAGCACATAACTCCCAGATGGTCCTGGCCCCATCTCTGCCTCTGACGCAGAGCCTCGTCCGAGCCTTCCCCAGACTCCAGGACTGGCCCATGTTCCTCCCCAGCCTCCTCACTGTCCGACTCTGCTGCCAGTTCCGCAGGCTGCCGGTGGACCACAACAGCCTTTTGAATTTCTTAATTATTATTTTAGAGGCTGTGTCATTTTAAATATGGATTTTAATTAAAAAAAACATTTTCATTTTTGTTAGCTGCTCAGGATTCTGGGGAAGTGAGGTTGGGCTACAAAAATAAATACAACCCTTTAATTTATTTACATAGACATGAGCCCTATTCAATTCAGTGGATGTGATTAGAAATTTAGAGAATTGTATTATTGATTCCTTGAATATTTTTTGTGTCTGTTTTTTGCCTTATTGTTTGATATTAATTCTGTCATTCACATTTGGGTTTGTTTTCTGCTACATATTAAATCTCATGATAATAACCCCTGAATTGTTATATGTATTTCTTTATGTGTAAAATGATGTAGGGGAGACCCCAGCTTGGATAATTCATTATGTGACTTGAAAAAGAGGTTTATTACTTTGTTCAGCAGTGCGGTCACCTGGCAGTGGTCATTAGTGTTTTAGTCGTTTTTCCTTCACAACAATGCACAACATGCTAATTAGAGGGTTCTGAAAGCTAAGCAACCTGTTTTAAAATCAGACATTTTAATTTGCAGCTTTAATGGCTATATTATAATAATGGGCTTTGAAAAACTAAAAAGGGCACTTCTCATGTTCCAGTAGCGAGGCCCAGTATAACAGAGGATGACAAAATTAAAAACCTCATAATATGACCTTTGCTTAGGATAAAAGGCTGTTTCATAACAATTCCCTTTTGTTCTTTGTTTAAGCCATTACTCCAAAAGGAGACTCCGATTAATCTAAGTAAATGCATCATTACAGTTCTAATCCATGTCCTTCTGTCAGTGTCTGTTTTAATTAAATAAGAAACACTATCAGAAAGATATCATGCACAAAGCTGTGTTGGAGAAAGAGAGATTCAGTTGATCGGGGTAAGATTAAAAAAGGCTTTGCTATTTTGTCTACTTGTATAGTCCCAGGAGCTACACTGTTGAAAATGAAGAGACGAAAATGTGGAGAACAAGTCAACATGGTGCTTCTTATTATCACTATAGTTTTGGTGAAATATTTAGAGAAACTCTGCAGCAACTTGGCTTTTATTCTTCCTATTTTTAGCTTTCCTAAATAATGTAAAATCTTTGTGTTTTCCCCTGCAATGTCCATTTTAAAAATCTGTTTTGTATAATAAAAGTGACAGTTTTAAGTACTTAAGTATAAATCAGATTCAATTTGAATTTGAAATGTTTGTGGAAATCTTGAAATACGATTTTTTTAAAATCAGTGAAGAATAATATTAATAAGTAGTGTACAAAATTAATACATTTAATCTAATTAACATTGCTCTTCCTCAGTGTAGATTTCTAATATTCTTGTTTCAGTTTGTTGCTACACTCAGACCAAAATACTTAATGAAAAGAGAAAATATACAATGCTGAGCTTAATTAATTTAGCTTAATACAATGAAGATATGAAACAAAACAAGAATTGTATAAATTAAGATATCTTGTTTACAGTCTAATACATTAATATATTTTGTTTTTCAGATCACAAAAAGGTACTTGACTTTAAAGGAAATATGATTCTATGACCAAGAGCTTGTATACAAAGAAAATAAATATTTCTCCTATTAAAACACCAATCTTTCAAGGTATAAAAACAATGCTTTTCTAAAAAAGAGATAAAAGTATAGTAGTCAAAAGTAAACCTCTTATGAAAATATCAGATGTTTGTTTCAAGGTAGTTCCACAATGCAGTTGAAATCTGATTATTCCTATTTGTTTTGACTTTGGACTTCCAACCATTCAAATATTTGTCTACATACTTGTGTATATATATATATATATTGTGCGTGTGTCTGTTTGTATATGAATATATATACAATTTCTTATTATCCAAATTTGTATATGCAAGGCCATAGATTAATAAAATGATGCTTATTACTATATTGTTAGTATATATATATATATATATATATATATCTCACACCGCATGATAACTACCTACTTTAAACTTTCTCAAGCTTTCAAAGAAATTTGGGTGCTGACAACAATTGGCAATTTTAGTAGGATACTAGTAATGAATTCCCTTTGGTTGCAAAATCTGTTGTTATAACCATTTCCCTCCATTGCTTAATTGTGAGCAGCTTTGTCCCTCCTCTTTTGGGAGGGAGCAAAAGCTGGGTTGCAGTTCAGTCAAATGCTTTTGTAACTTAGTTAGTTACTGGAGTGGAAAGAACAAAGAATTATAAATACAGAAAGAAAGACCATGAAGGACTATTTCTAATAAATTGTGGGCAATTTCTGCTTATAAACATTTATCCATTTAGAGATCACCAACTTCCAAGGAATTGCTTAATTAGAGATTATCTCAAAGCTCTCGGATTGATTTCAAATGGTTTGAATTCAGTATCTAGAGCAATTTCCCTAATGTTTTTTTTATTTATACATTTATTTATACTCAATACTCAGATACACACACACACACACACACTGTCTGTTTGTCCATCTGTCATCCATCCACTAGACAACATCAAGAGGTTATGAATAAAAGTTTCACTTGTATATTCTTGCTGCAGCACTGCATACTGTTAAAAAGCATTTTTTATGAGGATTTGGCACCTGCTGGTATGTTGGAAGATAAGGCATATGAGACCTCAACTAGACTGAGGGAGCTAGCAGAAATATTGTCTGGTACAACAGCAGTGATATATTCTCCTAATGGAAAAGGAATATCTGAATTCCTTTTATTCCTTCTTTATAGTCCCCTACTTTTTTGTTTCTGTTATGTCTGGAAGAAATATTTGCCTTTTTTTGAAGTGGGACATCACATATTCAAACTGGAAAAAAAAAGCTGAGTTGTATTTTGCATTACTTTTGATGATTAAATATTGTACCAGAAATGGCTGAATGTGTGCATTGTTTATTAAAAAGAATGCTGAATTTTAAGTAATTATATGAATATTCAAGGTCGTATCTTGAATAAATCATGTTTTGTAATTCCCCAATTTCCTAATTAACTGAATGTGTCCAATAGAAATATACTCTTTATTAAGGGACTAGAAAGGCTAACGAAGTGTCCTCTTTCATTACAGTAGCTAGACGAGCAATGATATCTGGCGTAATGTAGGCAGTAGCAACAGTCTTCTTCAAATAGTAGTACTCCTGTGTCTGTGGTTTTTAGAAAAGAATCTCAGGGGGTCATGAACAATCCTGGCAACTGCTTCTAAGGATTTCAATAAATAGGACTTTTTTATCCAAAACAATTGCCTTTTATATTACTTTTAAACAAAACTACTAGTCCATCAAGAGTCTCAAAAGGAAAAACAATTCTGCAGAGTGCTGGTATGGCAGAGCAGACCAATCATTATGGCACCCATTCTCTAGTCCTTTATTTTTCAAGTTCGCAACAATAGGTTGTTGATTCAATGGACAAGACCAGAACAATTAAGTTCTCTGTTTAGCAGCAGTGCAGCATTTTAATGCCCTCCTCTAATAATGGTCTCATTATTGTTATTCTAAGACTGGGCCTCAGGAGGAGGAATATTTGCTGGAGGTACGTCATTATTTTGCAAATTTCGATTAGCTCATCATGTTGTCTGTACTGTGAAAATCGTAGCTAATTAGAGCAGCCAGTTAGACTACCAGCTTCTGAGCTTATGAGTTAAAAGGTAGCATACTTGATAGGCCAGTGATGTGAAAAAGGTGGTTAAAAGGAGGATTAGAGCTGTTGCCTTAGTAACTCTAACTTCCATCTGTGAGGGAACAATGGACTTGTGTTTCTCCCCACCTTGGTGTAAAAATTGGTTTGTTTTGAAAGGCCAGGGCTCTTTATTTGACAATCTGGAATTCAGTCTGAGTGTAGTTTTAGTTCTTAGGAAAGACCATTGGGGATAGGCAGGGTGAAAGGTCATGGTGAGCTCAAGGACATGAAAGGCCGTTGTCTCATGTAACAATTGCAGATTGTTTTGTCTTATTATTTCTAGCCAACTTCTAAATCAGGTGATGGAACAAATACCTCCAGATTAGTCAGGTGAAACAGGGAAGAGAGATAATGTACCTTTTGGAGCACAAAAGATAGCTATAGTTCATTCTTGTTAAACAAAGTTGCATTTATTTGTGTCCATAGTCTGGAAAAAAAACAAAAGATGAAGCTTGTTTACCAAGCCACAGTTCCTGTGTGATTTTGTACCCTACCGCCTCTGTAGGCCATCACATATACAGAAAGCACTCCAAAGTGCTAGAAAATGTTATTTAAGCTTTCTTCCCATGAAGGAAAATCCCCCGGAGTATCAGTGATGCGATACTTAACAATAAATTTAGCAGCTGTGCTTTCTCACATTATTGGCTTTTTAGAAAGGTTTGCCTTCAAATCCGCAACGAATAATATTCACTACAATATGAAGGAGATTTGCTTCCAGACTTTACAACGTTTTGTCTGCAGCACCTCTGATGGAAATAATACAGCAAATAAGTTTAAAACCTGCTGTTACAAAGCCCCTTACTCCCATGTAAAAGTATACATTCGCTACTTGTTTTGTGTGAAGAGGAGGTCAAGCCTCTTTGTGTGAGGTTTGATCTTGAAGAGATTTTTCTCTTTGTCTGTGGGGAACATAAAGGCACTTCAGGGCTGTTTAATAAAACAGCTCCAGCATGCTTTTTGCAGGGAAATTATTTTTGTTAAAGTGAAAAAGGCTGCAGTCTTCTGGATTTTGCCCAGGGCTCCCTAAAACAAACTCACTGCTTTTTAAAAAAGGAGAAGCAAGGCTGAACTTTCCATTACTCCTTTTCTCTAACTTCGCACCTTAGTTGGCCAGAGCATCCTAATTCAATTCTTTCTTTTACATTGCAACCAGTGCAAATTCATCTGGTATTTCCCAAACAAATCCAATTTTTAGCCTCTGAAACCCTCAACCTCCTGGGAATCTAAAAAGAACCAAATATCAAGGATTTCTGCTGGGTTTTCAAAGAGGTTGATCAGCCTGCCCTCTCCCCCCTGGGCCAAACCATTGGGTTTCTTCTTTGTTTCAGGTCTGCATGCCTTCCCAGTGCTTATTCATTTACCTAAACATAGGAAGAACGGTTGCAGGAACCGGGTATGTCTACTTTAATGAAAAGAAGGACTAGGGCAGACATGATAGCAGTGTTCCAATATCTCAGGGGTTGCCACAAAGAAGAGAGAGTCAAACTATTCTCCAAAGCACCTGAGGGTAGGACAAGAAGCAATGGGTGGAAACTAATCAAGGAGAGAAGCAACCTAGAACTAAGGAGAAATTTCCTGATAGTTAGAACAATTAATCAGTGGAACAACTTGCCTCCAGAAGTTGTGAATGCTCCAACACTGGAAGTTTTAAAGACGAAATTAGATAACCATTTGTCTGAAGTGGTGTAGGGTTTCCTGCCTAAGCAAGGGGTTGGACTAGAAGACCTCTCTGTTTCCTCTTCCTAACTCTCTGCTCTTCTCTTTATTTTCCATTTCTTCTTGGGGTCCCCGTTCTTTGCTCCCCCCCTCCAACTCCAGTATGTTCCTTCCTGTGCCTGTGCCTGGCCATTTTCCACCTTCTCAGTCTTACCATCTTTGCTGCTTGTCCACTTTCTCACCTCTTTTTCTACTGCCAAACCCAACCTAAGATTTTGCCTTCATCTTTCTTTCCTGATCTCCCCACCCAAGGATCTAGCTTGTTCCCTTTTCTTGCTCCATAGTCTAGGATCTAATCTTTCTCCTCTGTTAATTATGACTGAACAACCCTGTGACCCAGTGGGTCATCCTTTGAGAGAAATGTAGTGCAGTTTCATGTCATCAGAATGAACATTAAATTTTAGGCTGAAAAATTATCTATCTATCTATCTATCTATCTATCTATCTATCTATCTATCTATCTATCTATCTATCTATCATCTATCTATCTATCTATCTTTACCCCAAAGCTGGATGGTCCCACGTTCATCTAAGAAATGTATATATCATAAATAAAAAAATAATTGTAGTGGCAAATTAACTTCAATAATAAGTCAATCTTTCCTTGCCTAAGCAGATAAACAGAATGACCATGGGTATGCAAAAAATAAGTGGGAGTAGGAGCAACTTCAAGAAATTAAAAGACACTTGCTCCTGGGGAGGAAAGCTATGGCAAATCTAGATAGCTTACTAAAAAGCAGAGACATCACCCTGCCAACAAAAGTGTGTATAGTCAAGGCTATGGTGTTCCCAGTTGCAATGTATGGATGTGAAAGTTGGACCATAAGAAAGGCTGAACGCCAAAGAATTGAGGCCTTTGAACTATGGTGCTGGAGAAGACTCCTGCGAGTCCCTTGGACTGCAAGGCGAACAAACCAGTCAGTCCTAGAGGAGATCAATCAACCCTGGCTTCTCTTTAGAAGGCCAGATCCTGAAGATGAAATACTCAAATACTCAATACTCAAATACTTTGGCCTCCTAATGAGAAGGAAGGACTCACTGGAGAAGAGCCTAATGCTGGGAACAATTTAGGGCAAAAGAAGAAGGGGACAACAGAGAATGAGGTGGCTGGATGGAGTCACTGAAGCAGTCGGTGTGGGCTTAAATGGACTCCAGAGGATGGTAGAGGACAGGAAGGCCTGGAGGAACGTTGTCCATGGGGTCATGATGGGTCGGACATGACTTCGCAACTAA